TGGCAAACTTTATTTTTTTTGGCTCCAAAATCACTGCAAATAGTAACTGCAGACATGATATTAAAACACGCTTGCTCCTTGGAAGAAAAGCTATGACAAACCTAGCATTTAAAAAGCAGAGACACTACTTTGCCAACAAAGGTTCATCTAGTCAAAGCTATGGTTTCTCCAGTAGTCATATATGGATGTGAGAGTTGGACTATAAGGAAATCTGAGTGCTGAAGAATTGATGCTTTTGAACTGTGATGTTAGAGAAGACTCTTGAGAGTCCCTTGGACAGCAAAGAGATCCAACCAGTCAATCCTAAAGGAAATGAGTCCTGAATATTCATTGAAAGGACAGATGCTGACGCTGAAGCTCCAATAATTTGGCCACCTAATGCAAAGAACTGACTAATTGGAAAAGACCCTGATGCTGGGAAAGATTGAAGGCAGGAGGAGAAGGGGATGGCAGAGGATGAGATGGTTGGATGGCATCATGGACTTAACAGACACAAGTTTGAGCAAGCTCCAGGAGATGGTGATGGACAGGGAAGCCTGGCATGCTACAGTCCATTGGGTGGCAAAGAGTCAGACACAACTGAGCGACTGAACTGAGTTGAACTGAACTGAGCCTCAGGTGTGTATTAGGGTGCTAGGTATAGAGCAGGTGAACCTTATAAATATCTGATTACTAAACTTTCATCCTTGGACAATGGGAATTGTTTGCACTGAATTCTCTTTACTACAGTCTGGAATACAAACTCCATAAATAGACATATTGGTCTGTTTTCTTTTTCATAACTAGATCCCCAGCTTCTAGCAAAGTGAATGGGATGTAGTAAGAACTAAATAAAATATTTGTTGAATGGAAAAATAAATAAATGCATGACTATTTTTCATTGTCCTCTGGAAAGGTAGCAGAGAGGAAATGAGTAACTACATCTTCCTACAGTATTTATACATAAAAGTAATAAGAAGTGACAGCAGCCACTGTCCCCAGTGGCAATCCCTTCCAATACCAATCTTGGAATCAACTATAAAGAACATGAAAAAATATCCCATTCATTCCTCTGCTATTTGATTCTACTTCAGAGTTAAAACACTCTTCTCCAGGTTACAGCTCCTAAAAGTGAGAAATTTACTTACATGGCTCTCGAAGGAGGTCTCTGGAAACAGTAACATCAGCGTCACTGTGAATGTGGTGGTAGAAATCACACTTTCAGGTGTTACAGCAGACCACTGATCAGAAACTCTGGGGGTGGAGCCAGCAAATCTGTGTTTTAACAGCTCTTCAGGGGTTTGTTTCTGATGCAGGCTTAAGTGTGAAAACCACTGACCTAAAGTCCACGGTTTTTTGCTGGGAGCCAACACACGAGACCCTACCCCTAACAAGGCCGTAGGGGAGAAAACCTGATGGGCAAGGCGGATCAGGTTTTCAGGGGTTTCGAAAAGGCCAGCTCACGAGATCCCACCCATGACAAGGTCACGAGGAGAAAGCCTGACAGGCAAGGCGGATCAGGTTTTCAGGGATTTCGAAAAGCTGCCCCCGGCGCTCACCTTAAAGATGGTCTTTCTGATGCCTGCCTCAATGGACTACTCCCTAATTTCTGTGACACAGGCAGAAGGCCTTCCCCGATCTCTTCCCAAATAAGAATCAATTTAGAACTTTAATCAATAAGTTTCCCAGGTGGTGGTATTTTATGAGATTATTCAGGGTGAAAGGAGTGTGTTAATTTAAACTCCTTTGCTGGTAGTTGTTAGCCAAATGCATTTATGCCCCTGGTACTAATATGCATGATTGCTTATAATATCCTAATCATAAAATAACATAAAGAACCTGATTATATAAAAGCCCTAATAGACATAGAGCCTTTCTAAGGGGTAAAGGAGTCCTATTAGAAAACATAAGAAAAATTATTCTATAGGTGGTTATTGGGTTGAGATTTGCTTGCTGTGTTTTGCTTGCTGTGTTTTTGCTTTTAATGTGCTAAGGTTGTGTTATAGAAACCACTGTTAATATAGTTAAAGATCTAGAGAAATAAGGACTTAGCCCTAGTGTGGTAACAATGAGATGGTTGTTAATTGTCACCCAGGAGTGCTAGGTAGAGGCTGCCTCACTGAAGCTGCAGAGTCTGTGTGGGGTAAACTTCTTAGATAAACGCAACTGACAACTTCTGCAGAAGGATTAATTTTTGTGCTAACAAGGTTATACTTCTACTCTGTACTGTTGCCCTATGAGACTGCTACCTTTCAGTTAAGGTCACCATAGAAACAGAAAATAGGTTTACATTCCCCTGACTTGCATAAAATGTTAATAGGCCCCAAGGCCAGAAGATAATATACAAGACCCTGATAAACAAAGAAGTATGCAGAAAACACCCTGGTTTTGTGAAGGACAAGCTGACATAATGTTAAACTATCTTCCCCTTAGAAATGTACTAACTTAGGGTATAAAGGCTATGGTAAAAAATAAAGCATTGCCAGACTCTGCCAGACCCTGCAAACACCCCCGTCTGGTCATTTTCTCTCTCTCTCTCTCCCTCGCAGACTTGGCCCTATCAAGGCTGGTCTCACGCGTCTTCTATCTCTCACCGACGCCGTCCATCCTGAGGGTACCCCCTGGATCCTGCCGAGGCTGGACCCTGGCAGTTTTTGTTTCTGTAACTCCCCACTCCCTAACCTGCCTAAAATAAGGTTTCTTTCTATTTTATTTCTTTTGACCTTCTCTACCTACATGATCTGGATTTTCCACATTCCAGATCTTCCCCAAGTCCAGATCACCTTTTCTTGTCTCATATGTCCCAGGAGCAGCTGTGTCCAGCTTCTTTGGGTGGGGGGTGGGGTGTGGGAGGGGGTTGGGGTTAACTGTCCCTGGAGTAACAGGCAAGTTTAGCCTTGGATAACAAAGTGAAGCAGGGCAAAGGCTAACTGAATTCTGCCAAGAGAACGCGTTGGTCACAGCTAACATCCTTTTTCAACAACACAAGAGACAACTTTACATGTGGACGTCACCTGAAGGTCAATATCAAAATCAGATTGATGACATTCTTTGTAGCCAATGATGCAGAAGCTGTATACAGTCAGCAAAAAGAAGGCCTGTACTGATGGTGGCTCAGATCAGCAGCTTCTCTTCGCAAAATTCAGGCTTAACCTAAACAGAGCAGGAAAAACAACTAGACCAGCCAGGTGTGACTTAAATCACATCCCCTGTGACTATGCAATGGAGGTGACAAATAGATTCAAGGGATTTGATCTAGTAAACAGTATGCCTGAAGAACCACAGACGGAGGTCTGTAATATTGTACAGGAGGCAGTGAACAAAACCACCCCAAAGAAAAAGAAAAGCAAGAAGGCAAAGTGGTTATCTGAGGAGGCTTTACAAAGAGCTGAAGAAAGAAAAGAAGCAAAAAGCATGGGGAAAAGGAAATGTACATCCAACTAAATGCAGAGTTCCAAAGAATAGGAAGGGGAGACTAAAAGGCCTTCTTCAACATACAGTGCATAGAAATAGAGGAAGACAACAGGGGCCAAAGGACTAGAGACTTCTTCAGGAAAATTGGAAATAGCAAGAGAATATGTTGCTCAAAAAGTAAAGTCGCTCAGTCGTGTCTGACTCTTTGAGACCCCATGGACTGTAGCCTACCAGGCACCTCCATCCATGGGATTTTCCAGGCAAGAATGTGGCTCAAATAAAGGGTACAATAAAGGACAGAAATGTAGAGATCTATTAGATGCCGAAGAGATCAAAAAGAGATGGAAAGAATACACGGAAAGACTGCACAAAAAAAAATCTTAATGAACCAGATAACTATGATGGTGTGGTCAGCCACCCAGAGCCAGACATTCTGGAGTGTGAACTCAAGTGGGCCTTAGGAAGCAGTACTAATAATGAAGCTACTGGATGCGATGGAATTCTGGTAAACCTATTCAAAGCAGGTCCTGCGCTTCCAGGTATCGGATTCCACGTGAGAGGAGTCTGTCCTTCCTGAAAGGAGAAAATGACCAAGTTTTAGGAGCCAGGAGCATTCACGGATGCCTCTGTGGACTTCGCCAAGCAAGACTGGGGTTTCTGGACTCTGTTAGGCACACAGGAAGCTGCGCAGAGCTGTGATGCTGGAGAAAGACTGCCCCTTGGTCTCAGCGGGAGACTTGAATGAAAATTTTGTGGAAAATGAAGATAAAGTACTTACGTTGTCTAGTACCTCAAGAGCTTTCCTGCTGGCAAATTTGGGAAGAGGTGGCTTAGTACAGTAATGAGCAGCCAGAATTAAATTGTGAATATTCAAAGGGAGGTGTAAGTAACCCTGAACTGGATCTTTCTACTTGTCAGAAGTGGAGAAAAGTATCTTCTGATATATCCAGGAACCACAAGCAGTGCGGTGACTCTTCAGAGTGATGATTTTAAAAAAACCATGGAGAGTGAAGAATATTCATCTTTGAAAGTCCCAATCCAAATGGCCACCCAGTACCCCTCATTCTGTAAGAATGAGCCCCAGGATCCTCAGGAAAGCAGAAGTCTGTTTGTAACTGAAGAAAGCCCTGAGAGGAAACTGACAGAGGGGAAAAGTCCTCCCATTGAGCATTGCTCAGAGAACCTTCAAGATAAACTTGTGGCTGATGTAGAAGTGGTCTTGCCATTGTTCAAAGGGGAGACAATTTGCCATATTGGCCAGTTGAAAGAATCCTTGGAGCCCTTTGACTATAACCACAGAGACGTTTGCGGTTGGAAATCCTAGGTGGCCAGCCATCATCATCAGAGAGCTCATACAGAGGAGAAGCCCTGTAGCCATCAAGACTGTGGGGAAACATGTACCAGCCCAGGTGGCCACCCTGGTGAGAAAATCCGCCCTTCAGAGAAAGTGAGCAGATGTAGTCAGTGCGGTAGGGACTTCAGTGAGTGCTCAGAACTAGTCCTTCATCAGAGGGACCACACCTAAGAAAAGCCCTGCAGATGTGATCAGTGCAGGAAGGGCTTCACAAGGAGCTCGAGTCCCCTCATCCGCCGTGAAGTCCACGCAGATGAGAAGCCTTACAAGTGCGATAAGTGTGGGAAGGGCTTCACCAGGAGTTCAAGTCTGCTCATTCATCACTCAGTCCACACGGGTGAGAAGCCTTATAAATGCGACAAGTGCAGGAATGGCTTCAGCCAGAGCTCCAAACTGCACATCCTCCAGCGAGTGCACACCGGCGAGAAGCCCTGTGAGTGTGGGGAGTGCGGTATGAGCTTCAGTCAGCGCTCCAACCTGCACATCCACCAGCGCATCCACACAGGGGAGAGGCCTTACGAGTGTGGGGAGTGCGGTATGAGCTTCAGTCAGCGCTCCAACCTGCACATCCTCTAGCGCATCCACACAGGGGAGAGGCCCTGCAAGTGTGGGGAGTGTGGAAAGGGCTTCAGTCAGAGTCCAGACCTTCACATCCACCGCTGTTCACACACGGGGAAGAAGCCTTACCAGTGCTACGAGTGCGGGAAGGGCTTCAGCCAGAGCTCAGACCTCCACATCCACCTGCAAGTCCACACTGGGGAGAAACTGCAGCAAATGTGGGGAGGGCTTCAGCCAGAGCTCCAAACTCCTCATCCACCAGCGGGTCCACAGGAAAGATCCCATTAAATGAGGTCTTCAATCACATGCTCTTACTCCAAAGACTTCAATATCTCTAACATCACTCTTACTTTCACATTCTCAGGATATAGTCAGAGTTATTCAGATATGTTCCCTCACTGAAAGTCATTCACTTAAGGTATTTAAGTACCAAGCATTTTGTTATGCTACACAGTGAATTGATTGTTCTTGTTGCTCAGATGGATAGAGTGAAAACGTCTGTACTTTGACATTCAGCCAGTGTTACTAGAGCTACATATCCTACTCAGCATTTCTAAGTACAAGAACCTTATATTTGTCTAAACAGAACGTGTTTCCTTTGCTCACACTCTCTGAGAATCTGGAACTTTGGCTTTCTCTTCAAACCGTGTGCCTTGTGTTTTTCGTATTTCCTTCCAGCCCTGAGTAGCCCTCTTTAAATTATGATTGCACAATATGTTTTAATATTTGCTATAACCCCCCAAAGTCATTTGCTTTTGCAGCATTGTTACTGAGCCAAACTTGGGTCTTCTTGGCCAAGCAGAGTAAAGCCAATCTACTGACACTGGCTTGTAAAGGAAGTGCACCATTTATTGCGGGGCACCATAGGAGTCCAAGCAGCTAGTGCTCTTCAGACCCAAACTGATGGCTTTCAGGGAAACGTAAGGTGAGGAACAGGGGGCTGTGGGGTGCATGATCAGCTCATGGACATTCTTCTCATTGGCTGATGGCGAGGCAATTAGGAGTCAACATCATCAACCTTCTGTTTCTAACCCATCTGCGGTCTGCCTGCTTGTGGGCAGCAAACAATTAACCTCTTGCATCTGGTGGCAGTTTCAGTATCTGCAAAACAGCTCAAAGGACGTGGCTCAGAATATTATCCATATTCTGGAGGAATTACCAGTCCTTGCTTAACTTAATATTAATAGCTAAACAATTATTGTTTTGTTTTGCTTGACTTTTTTCCTTTCTTTCTGCATTTTCTCTCTTCTCTGATTAAATTTACACTTTGGAACTTGGAGAAGGCTTGGAGAGTATGTTTGGAGATGACAAAGCTTAAAATATAGATGCAATATTTATTACCTTGAGGAGGTGGGGCTATAATTGGTACATCCTGATCAAAGGTAACCTGAAGCAGTTAACTGGACATAGATAACAGGAAAGTGACATGTTAAATTTAGAGGAAATGTAGTTAATGTCTAATAAGAAATGGAGGAAGGTTACAGATTGAGACTTGCTTTCCTTCAAGAGACAATCCCAGAATATTTGACTCCAGCTCAGAGGAGCCCACATAGACTGATGAGGGTAGTGACTGAGCATCTGCACTTTGGCATTGCATAATACCCTCACTAGTTTGGAAACCATAAGATGGTATCACAACTGATGTGATTCTGCTTTGGTGATCTCTAGAATTCTGAATCCCTCCCAGTTCCTCCTGGTCTCATAAGATTATGTGTGAACATCTCTTCTGGATTTGACTCTTGTTTGTCACATATGTCTTCTAATTGGCTGATAGATATAATCTGTTTGGGACTTAGAGCCAAATATGATCATAAGAATCCATGTGTAGTGAGTCCAGAGAGTAGATATAAAGTCCAAGTCTCATATGGTTATAAACTAGCCTGTTTTCCAAGTCTCCTTTTATACATACCTTAATTTAGCAATGTTTTTAACTCTGTTTAGCTTTTATTGTTCTCTTTTAAGCATTAGCTTTCTTAATACAACTGACATGTGATCAGAGTCCTTGGGAAGCATTTTGCTGATTGTGGTAAGGAAGTTTGGAGGGAAAGTCAGAAAAAGGAACTTGTGCATGAAAATTCAGGAAAAGGAGCCTTCCTGATGGCTCAGTGATAGAGAATCTGCCTGCCAATGCAGGAGACATAAGTTCAATCCCTGATCTGAAAATATCCCACATGGCTTGGACCAACTAAGCCTGTGCTCTAGAGCCCAGGAGCCCCAACTACTGAGCCCACAACTACTGAAGCCTGCATGCCCTGTTGACTGTGTTCTGCAACAAGAGAAGCCACAGCAAATGAGAAACCTTCAGACTGCAACTAGAGAGTAGCCTCTACTCACTGCAACTAGAAAAAAGCCCACACAGCAACAAAGACCCAGCACAGCCAAAAATAAACAAAATTATTTTAAAAAGAAAATGCAGGAAGAACAACAGGGCATGTCTCACCTTTTATCAAGTCCTAAAGATGCCATAGATTGACAAAAAGAAAACACTGTTAATTTTTAAGACATCCCAACTTCAGACATGTGAAAATGAGAGAAAAAAAAAAAACAGATGTGTTACAAAATGGTTCTTTTTCAGAATTCAAGAGTTGTCCTAAAATTGATCCTTTACTGATACCTGAACAAAGACCTTTGGAAAATCTCAATAATTGTATTCGATTGATAATTCCATCACAAATTTGGCAAAGAATCTAGGTTACAGATTAAATTCTTAAAATTCTTACCTAAAAAAAAAAAGTAAAGGATGATGCTATCGAAGTGTTGTACTCAATATGTCAGCAAATCTGGAAGACCCAGCAGTGGTCACAGGACTGGAAAAGGTCAATCCTCATCCCAGTTACCAAGAAGGGTAGTACTAAAGAAGGTTCTGACCATCAGACGGTTGCAATCATCTCCCATGCTTGTAAGATCATGCTTAAAATCTTGCATGCTACGGCTTGGCAGGCTACAGTCCATGGGGTCGCAAAGAGTCAGACACAACTGAGTGACTAAGCACAAGCACATGGCTTCAGTGTTACATGAACCAAGAACTTGCAGACATCCAAACTGGGTTTAGAAAAGGCAGTAGAATCAGAGATCGAATTGCCAACATTTGCTGGATCACAAAGAAAGCAAGGGAATTCTAGAAAAACATCTACCTGTTTCATCAACTACACTAAACCCTTTGACTGTGTGAACCATAACAAACTGTGGAAAGTCTTAAAGAGATGGGAATACCAGACCATCTTACCTGTCTCCTGAGAAACCTGTATGCAAATCAAGAAGCAACAGTTAGAACCCTGTATGGAACAACTGATTGGTTCATGATTGAGAGAGGAGTATGACAGGGATGTCTGCTGTCATCCTGTTTATTTAACCTATATGCTGAGCACATCAAGAGAAATGCAGGGTTGGATGAATTACAAGCTGGAATCAAGATAGGCAGGAGAAACATCAACAACCTCAGATATGTGGATGATATCACTCTAATGGCAGAAAGCAAAGAGGAACTAAAGAGCTTCTTGACGAGGGTAAAGGAGGAAAGTGAAAGAGCCTGCTTAAAACTAAATATTAAAAAACTAAGATCACGGCATCTGGCCCCATTACTTCATGGCGAATAGAAGGGGGGAAAGGTGGAAGTAATGACAGATTTCCTCTTATTGGGCTCTAAAATCACTGCAGATGGTGACTGCAGCCATGAAATCAGAAGACGATTGCTTCTCGGCAGCGATGACAAACCTAGACAGTGTGTTTAAAAGCGGAAACATTACTCCGCCAACAAAGGTCCATTTAGTCAAGGCTATGGTCTTCCCAGTGGTCATGTATGGTTGTGAGAGCTGGACTGTAAAGAAGGCAGAATGCCAAAGAACTGATGCGTTTGAACTATAGTGCTGGAGAAGACTACTGAGAGTCCCTTGGACAGCAAGGAGATACCAGTCACTCTCAAGGCAAATCAATCCCTAATTCTCATTGGAAGGACTGATGCTGAAGCTGAAGCGTCAGTATTTTGGTCACCTGATGCAAACTGCTGACTCATTGGAAAAGTCCCTGATGTTGGTAAAAAAATGAAGGAAGAAGGAAAAAGGGGTGTCAAAGGATGAGATGGCTGGATGGTATCACCGATGCAATTGACATGAACTTGGGCAAACTTCAGGAGATGGTGAGGGACAGGGAGGCCTGGCATGCTGCAGCCCATGGAGTCGCAAAGAGTCAGACAACTGGGCAACTGAACAACAGCAAGGGTAACTCTCATGAAGGGATTCCATATAAGTTTTAGCAAAGATTCCTAAGAATGTGGGAACTAGTAGGGGTTTTTTAAATCATAAGGTCTGAATCATTTATTCTGTATATGAGGAAAACTGACTTCAAAGAGATTTAATATCTTAGCTGAGACCAAATATATTTAAAAGACTAGATCTGAGTTTTTCCACTCATAAACAAGCTTTTCCCATCATTACTGCAAAATGACCCATATAACCTTACATTTGTACTCAAGATGTTTATTTCCAGAGCTTTGAACATCAGCAAGGATACATAGAACCTGTTTATGTTATAATGATCATCACAGTGTGGGTGTATGATTAATCACTCAGTCCTGTCCAACTCTTTGCAACCCCATAGACTATAGCACACCAGGCTCCTCTGTCCTGGGGATTCTCCAGGCATGAATACTGGAGTGGGTTGCCAAGCCTTCCTCCAGGGGAGCTTCCAACCCAGGGATTAAACCCAGGTCTCACGCATTGCAGGCAGATTCTTTACCATCTGAGCCAGCAGGGAAGCCCAAGAATACTGGAATGGGTAGCCTATCCCTTCTGCAAAGATTCTTCCTGACCCAAGAATCAAACCAGAGTCTCCTGCATTACAGCAGATTCTTTGCCAACTGAGCTACCAGGGAAGTCAGGTTTCTCAAAGTAATTTCTATATATTCATTCCCATTTCCCAAGAAAGCTGAAGCAATGTGAAAGGTAACATGTGGATGACCAGCCAAAGAACAAGTTTTGAAAAAAGAATGACAGAAATCAGGAAAAGACTAAGTTTTTCTG